TATGAAAACCATCTTGTGTTCTATTTTTGAACTGATTTCCATTTCCATGGCCACCTGAGGGAGGTCAGGCTGCTCTGGCCAACTTCCTCACAGGGAGAGGGACCAACGGTGACAGGGACACAAACCCCGAGACAAACCATCCTCCATCCGCTCCAACACCCACGCCACTCATTATCCTCACTGGCACCATCAAGACTCTCACATGGATATAGAAATTAATCGCCATAAAGAAACAGAAAACAACAAAATCCTTTTTCTTTTCACTTCTTTCTTGCTGTTTTTCTTCTGCTTCAAAGCCTGTAACTCTCTGCTGTGCCCTAGGGTTAATTAACATGAACCAAACAGTGAATGATCAGAGAGAATGGGAAATCTCCAAAGGTTAAGTGTCACATGGGAAGCGTGTTGTCAGTAGAAGGAGAGGAGGTAGGCTGTTTTTTTTCTTCTTTTTTTTTTCTTCCTTTCTCCTGCACGTTCAAAATCAAATGAGAGAGCAGCGGTGCAGAGGGAAGAAATTTGTAGACACCTTTCCAAAACTTTGCATTTCTCCTGTCAGAGGGGCAGAGCTTCACAGTCGGGCTTCAAACAATATCTGTAATTCCATGACATTTTGATGAGCAAAAGAACTCGGCAGTTCTCTCCAACTTGCTGCTCTTTCCTCGTGTTCCTTTTTCTGCGTATCGTTATAATTCACTTTAGAGAAGTACACACACAACAGCGTTTCATAATGTGATAAGCAAAAGCTTGTGGGGGGAAAAAAACACATCCATCACAAAGTTAATCACTGCTTTTATAGACCTACTCATTGAAATTGTGTCTCCTCTTTGTATCCCCGCAGGGAAAAAAAGAGAAAATGACTTCATGATCCACAGATATCCTGGACAGCATGTCTTGCAGGTGAAACAGTATGATTTCTCTCTGTAATAATTAACATGGGCTCCTCTTCTCTCCCTGTGGCTTGTCGCTGACATTTGGTTCATGCTTGAGTGTCTGCCTAGCTGATTTCAATCTCTTGCATGAAGGTGAGGCTGTGTTTGTACGAGTGTGTGTGTGTGTGTGTGTGTGTGTGTGCATGCATAGGGTCCAGTGGCCAGTCCGACAAGGACGCCGAAGACAGGGGCTGCCTTCAGAAGACAGGATTAAACATCATGACAATATGGATTAGAGACCCCCTCAGTCAATCCTCAAACCTCCAGCAGGTTAAAAGTTGAAAGCCAAACGCTGAAACACAAATGAGTCTTGTCGGTGTGTTTGCGCTCTTGCAAAACCGCATTATGTAAAGGGTCATATCTCACTCGCCGCTGAATAGATATTTGACAATTCCGAAATTTATCACGCCGATCTCTATACATTTTATCTGCGCTGACAAACCGTATTGATTTACGCCGTGCTCCGAGGATGAAAACACCTCAGAATGGTCACCTCGCCCACCGCTGCAACAGGCCTTATTTTACATTATTACATTATGTATGCAGGCTTGAGTATGGATAATGGATGAATCTAAAGCAAAGCAGTTTAATTACCCACCATCATTCTGTCTCACCTAGATGCAGAGCTCACATCTTATTAGCCATGGTGTAAATAAACATTAATATGCCACCCTGATAAAGACTGTCCTCCCCCCCTTGCAGTTCTTGCTATATTATCATCATTGCTGCAAAGTACACACACCCAAACTGATCCAGTGGCATGTGCAAACAACAGAGGGAGATGCTGAAGCCGGGGCCAGACCATTACAACCACTTCACAGAAAATTATCATTAGTGCATCTGGCTTAGGGCCACACAGCCCCCATCAAAAGATTAAACTGTACACACAGTATTCACGGGTGGATCCGGAATGATCGGATAATACAAAACACAAATCTGTAATCTTTAAGTTGATCAAACCAACAATCTTAGCAAGTGGCTTTGTTGCAAAATTCCTTTTTTTTTTTTTGCATGTTTGGCAGACCGGTAAGTGGCAGAATAGGCACAGGGGATGAGGGACGTCTCCGTAGGCCAACTGAAGAGGAGGAGACTTAGATGTACAGCATGTAGGTTAAGCAGCCACAGGGTATTCTCATCCTTATAGCATATAAGTACAGTGGCAACAGAGAGGGAGCTTCAAGCAAAGAGAAAACTCAGCATCCAGTCCAGCTCTGAGCATCAAACACGACTGAGCTGATAAACTACAACATATGAAAGTTATGTCTCCAGGCAGAGTTTATAACAAACTGGATTGTGACTGGCATCAGACACGATGAATTTAATGCACAATTAATAACAAAGTTGTTTTAAAAGGTGCACCTTATGTGTAACTACTCCATTAAACAGACTGGTGTATTTCAAGTATAACCTTGTTGAGATTTTTTTTTTTCTTTTTGGCTTCTCAAGATGACAGAAGCTGAACTCTTCAAAGACATACATTGTGTTGCATGTACACTAAGCTCTTTTATAAACTTCTCCATATGTCTTTTTTGTCTGCCGATGGACTGACTGCAGCCAAAACCCAAGAGGAGACAGGCCTTATTCTGCTCTCTTATGTTGTTTCAATCACCAGTCTACTGTACAAAGGAGGCAGCCTGATGGCATGATGAGTGCACAGCGCTCATCTGCCTCGCGCTGTTGTCTCAGTTTGAGCCTCATAAAAGGAAGCGGGCCTGACGATGCCAGAGGCGGAGGATCCGGCTCCACGGTCTGAGCAGAGAAACATCAGCAGAGCGCCATTCTTTAGAAGGAGATGTCCTTCAGTGTGGTGCCAACTCTCCCTGGGGCAGCAGCAGAAGACACAGCCTCTTATTTACCATATACAGGATCTCTCCGTGCCCTTAATGAGCCAGGATATTCAGCATCACAGAGACAAAGGCCACGCTTTCACTGAAGAAGCTGTGGTTTTGCTGAATTAAATAATGATAATTAAGAAAATATTAATCAAACTCTGGCTCTCTCCGCTCTGTGGATGTGTTGAGGGAGCGGCTCTTCCAGCTTAGCCTGTAGGAGTTCTCATTTAGAGTATGCCTGCGACCTATAGAGCTGCAGGCAAACGCACACACACAAACACACACAGATGCACACAATTAAAAGCAGACCCTGGTGGCCTTCTACTCTATAATTAAACACCCTTTGGTGTTCTGCACAAAAATACTGAGCTGGGTTCAGATGTGTCAAGGAGAGAGGAGTGAAAGGAAACGTTAAGGAGCTGTTGGTTCTCCTCGTTGCAAGTTCTGTTCAATGCAATGAATTAATAAAAAGCACAAACTAATACCTTCCCGATGTGCAGTTGGTATGTCTGGCGGGCCAGCAGCAGCTATACAGCTGTACTGTGAAACTTTAATGCTGCTGGATGCCTGAAGCACCGCCTGGGCTTTTTCTCTGAGGTGGGGGTGGGGACGGGGGGTAGGTGGGATTTTCATATATTCGATCTAACTGGGACAAGTATTTGAAGAGAGAAACGGATTTCTCTGACCTTTAAAAACACCAAGATGCAGCCGCCTGACAGGTGGGAATCATAACCGGATCCTTAAATTATTTAAAAACTCCTCATGTAACTTTTTCTTCATATAAAATATTCAAAAGTCTCCTCTCAAATTCAAATGTTATTAGGTGATTATATGGTATTATTCTTCACCTTTTAGACTTCAGAGTGCTTGTCATTTGGCTCTAGTTGTTATGGTAATGTGAGGTATTCCATCTCCTTCCCAGCATGCTCTGTGTTTGACATTCATGGGGTTAAAGTCCTCTGAATGATGAAGTGCCAGTGTTTGGGACAGTAAATTGCATCGTTTCAATTGAGAAGAGAGTTCCCCTTGGGTTTGCTGGAGGTCCCTACGGGCTGGCCTTGAACAGAACAGCATGTTGTACATCCATATAAAAAAGGGGAAAAATATGGTGGTACTTTTCTCTTTATGATGCAGAGATTAATCTGTCACCATATTCACGCATAAATCTCACTCCCTGCTTTGCAAAATACTGTTTTATCTTACTTTACTCTATATTTTATTTTTTTATTGCCCATAAACACAAACCATCACAAAGGGCTAATGTTCTCATCAATATTATTACAAAATGATCATAAATCCAACGCCTTGTTAAAATCTGAAGCCGTTTCTCTCCTCAGCCACTCAACCGTTGAAAATATTAGACAGAAGCATTATTTTATCAGCCAATTTCTCTCACAATAATAGATGATCTTCTATCATATTTGAGCTACAGTACACCACTTAGTTTTCATTAGATTATTGCACTTTCTCTCCCATCCTTTTCCTCATTCACTGTGTTCAGCAGTACTGATCTTGCCTTTTGGGGCTATTTTTTTTCTTATACTTCAGTAGAAATGCCTTGACAACACTGTGGTGGTTATTTCATCCTGAGAGACCACAAACTAAACAGCAGAAACACGTTGTATAGACGCTTGTTTAGTGGTATGCAAATCATCTTAGCCGGAGGTAAAATTAACATTTTCAATTAAAATATTAGCACCAAACAAACACGGAAAAACACACTAATGATTAAATCATCTTGATAGAATCTCATAGTGGAAGATGAAGCTGACTTCTTACGATTCTTTGTGTGAAAAAGATGCACCGTCGAACGTGCGTCGCTCTGTTTTCACCAAGTCGAGAATCTTCAGATTTGCAGTTGAAAAGTTTCAATCTGATCAATTTAACGATATGGCGTTGTTCACATTCACAGCCTGGGACATCTTCACTCTTTTTAATCTCTTATGCAAATAAAAAATGTAAATATATATACAACAATTGCTTTTCAAATTTATTTTTACATACTTGACAACCTGTAATAATTAAGGAGCGTAATAACGGATTGCAACAATGTCATTCATGTTCAAATATTTCATTAAATTTAAAATTCTAGACGTCTGCGTTTCATCAGCAGGTATCAGTGTGTGAGGCCCTGAGACTGAGGCGGTGAAGCTTTCCGTAGCTGCTTTTAATGCGACTATATCGCCCTCTGCTGGTTTTTTAGGCAAACATCTATTAAGAAAAACAAAGCGGAAGACGAGGAAAGTAACAAAAAGTGCTCCAATGAAGCAACTTTATTATTGCTTTAGTATAACAAACATACACTGTCATTCAGATTTTTAAGTAGTAAAAAGAACTTCTTTGAATGTTGCACTCAATCATATGTTCAGAAAAAGTACGACGGGATTTCGCGGCAGATATTGTTCCAGGGATTGTAATCACAAGTTTCCAGTAACAGATTTCCAGTGGTGGAAAGTGACACCTATTCGACACTGAGGATACTTTTTTTTTTTACTCCTCTGCTCCACAGAGGCCAAGCAGCACTTTCTGATAGTCCCCCTTGGTATGTTCCTGCAGAAAGAAAAGTAATAGAGCAGGTTAGAGGGGCTGCGTGACAGAACAAGCTTTAATGTGAATCAGTAAGAGGCCAGGGGCGGGCTGGAAAGTTCACTCACCGCGATAGTCTGTTGCAGAGACTGTCCAAAGTTGGCCTTGTATTCAGAGCAGATCTTCTTCAGGTCCACCTCACAGCGCGACACAATAATTCTGGTCACTATCTTCTCCTTGGCTCCTTTACTCTGAGCAGACAAAGTCAGCACTTAGTTAAGTCGTAACATGCTCTGTGCCTTAACTACAGCAGCTGATGCAACTGTGTTGTAAGACAACTTCTGCCAACTTCTGTGTTCCTGCAGCAAAAACTGCACTTTCACAAGCAGATGTAGATCTTACATTAGTTAGGAGGAAAAGTCTAGACCTCAAAATAGCCACGTTTTAAATCAGAAAGAAAAAGAAGTGCACTGTCAGTACCTTCATGGCTTCATTCAGTCTTTTGGCGAAGAACAGCTGTTTGTTTTCAAAGCACTGAACTGGAGAGAAAAGAAAAACAGAATAAATATCCACAATCGTACATATTATAATTTCTTTTGTGATTTTCTGGAAACAGTTTATTCCAAGTAATCATCTATAATAATCATAATAATATGATTCATTGATAAAAGATAAGCATACCTAGCACCAGGAAGGACCTCTGCAAATCTCCTTTCACCTCCTTCACGACACTCTCCTGCATGTCGTAGGGGCTGTAACTCTTGTACCTCTGAAACACTAAGCAGCAGAAAAAAATAACTTATAAATGTGAAATAGTGCATTCTACAATTTCCAACAGACAATCAAAAATCAGCACTTATGTATCCGTAATGCTTTAAGTAAACAGGCTGTCGTACCTTTTTGCAGGTGGGGGACGCTTCTCTCGGACATAATGGAGATCCAGGTTGGTACATCGGTTCCTTTTATCTTTACTCCAGCATCATAGAGAGCCTGAATGCAATCAACCAAACATGATTTAGTTTGTGGCAAAACAGCGGTGTGGTCTGGGTGGAACTTATAAATCACTCATATCTAAATAGCTTCTGTATTTAACACCAAACAAATACCAATTATATGGAGGTTGCAGATTGACATTTTTGACAAGTGATGTATTCGTCAATTAAAAAGAAAAGGCGCTGTTAATAAAAGACAAACAGTAAACATAGAAAAACATAGTCTATAAGTCATCACAATTATTTTCAAACTGTGAATCAAAGATTATGAACTGTTGACTGATGAGTACCTTGAATTGTTTTGGATTCTCAACTAAGGCTGGACAAGCATGAAAAAAAGTTGGGCAGAACTTTTATTTTTAAAACCTTTAGGCCAGTCAGACGCTGCTTACCATTTCATACAGCTCTATCATTTATGAATGCTGTGCTATTTTTCTCATCTCTCCTATTGAAAACCTTCTTAGTCTCAGGCATCAGTCTCTGCTCTTAAACCATGAACATCCTTTAATAACCAAGTCCAAGCCAAGAAAGCATTGATATTTCATTATTGTAATATTAAAATATTCATTTAAGTGTCTCCACTATAACTGGAATTCACTCTACGGTCACTAACACTCAAACTATATCAGACGCAATCTTGCACAAACTGCTTTCTCAGTTAAAGGCTGGACCCTCTGAACCCCCACCTGCTACTTTAAAGCACATTCAGGATAATAAAAGCTGCTCAGAACACATCAGTGAGTTACTATTCGTGCCTATGAGCTCATGCTAAAAGTGCTGTATAGTGATGGGTTTGCTGCTCTTTATTTTATTGCTTATACAGCACTGATTTTAAATAGTAATTTTAATGACTGCTTAGCAAATCAAAGGACACAGTTGGAAATCAGAATTGGCTATATACATGTATACAGCATATTGGACACTGTTTTAGACATAATAAAACTACTAAATAAAATAAAATAAATAGGATTGATAAGGAAGCTGAGGTTTATTTACAGGAATAATGGATGGTAAAAATCAAAATCTTCAAACCATTTTGCTTGGCATTCAAAGACAAAGTGAAACGGGGGACTTACTCTGGCATCTTGGTCAATCTTTTCATAGTCTACAACTGCAGATGGTTCTGCTCTCTTGGTCTGCACAGAAATAAAAGACATGACTCAAGTCAGGTTCAGCCGTGTTTTGTTCTGTGAATCATAAAAGACAGCCGTGGCTACATCCATCTCACCTGCACAAGAGCCAGGAGCAGCTTGGCAAAGTTCCCAGACGTATCACCAGCCACATCTTTCTCCAGCTCCTTCTTGAACACTGTGAGAAGTTAGATTTTTTTTAGTGCAGGCATTTTAGCTCTTTCTACACCAATAGCTGTTTAATTTCTGGTTAAAGGTCAGACTGAGAGTGCCTCGGTTGTTGAAAACCCTACACTGAATGGAAAGCAACCTGTGGGTAAAACGTTAAACAGGAATGTATTTTTCTAGCCTGGGATGTTTTGAACTTACGCTCCTTGTAGACCTTCTTGATTTCCACCAGCTCGTCGTTGCTGCGTGAGCACAAAATCTCAATCAGAGTTTCTTCATCTGTTCCCAAACCCTGAAAGAGAGGAAAAAAAGTTGAAAATATGCACCACCTAACTTCACATCCATCTGAAGAAATAGGCATGTTTTGTCATTTTTCCATTAGAGGGCAGTGTTACCCTTCAGCCAGATCCTCTGATGAAAACCTTACCTTGATAGATCCTCTGATCTCTGAGGCATCAAACTGGGTCGCACTCTTCATCAGTCCGAGGATCACAGTTTCCAGCGAGCCGGACAGCGCTCCCTTAAGGGCTGTGATCATGTCCTAGAAATATAATGATTGTATATAATGTGTCCCATACCGTTAAAAAAAACCAGAGTGACACTAATTAGCAGGACCACAGTACCTTCTTTGCCCTCTTTTCATATGCAAAGGCAATGTCTCTCCTTTGGTAATAGGGACGCTTTGTTAAGACATCAATGATGGTCTGCTCATCCACTCCTGATGGATAGATAAACGTTAGAAGATTTAGACACACAATAACACATACAATGTACATGGACTGTTACACAGTTAATTCCATATAGCATGAGGAGTTGACATAATAATGGTACAAAAACTAGACATCCAGCCAGAACTGATGCATGATATTGTGTACTGTCTAACCAATAATCAATATGAGCTAATGTTTGATACATGGAAGCTGAACTGAAATGCTGTGTTGCTAGATACTTATTTTTACTTATGATGCTCCCCATTTGCTTCATTGCAAGTCAAGTTTTGGCTTTCAAATGTAAAAGATAGTATGTACAGGACATACATTAGAATATGTTAAGCAGGATTGCAAATGCTTATTATATTCAATGTTCAGTTCATTGTAAAAAAGTGTAGAAAAACTCACAAAAAACACAACATTTTCCACAATTATAGTCTCTCTAGGGCAGATGTGACATCTTTAAATGTGTTGTTTTGTGTTACAACTTTAAATATTCAGATTACAGTCACAGAAAACAACAAAAATCCTCATGACTGAGACTGGACAGTTTCTACAAGAGAGACAACACATGAAGAATACCAGAGCAGTAAAGATAGCCTGCTTCAGCACATGACATAATCATAAACTATTTTCCCCTTCTCATTTGCAGAGAAACATCTTGCTAGAGCGCATTCTTCACCACAACAAAATGGTGGGATGTTGGAGAGCCAGCGGTCAGGCTGCTGCCAACATCTCTACAGCTCTGCCAGCACTGACACAGAGGTTGGTCAAAGCATTTTAAGCCACGATGCTGACTCACAAATACCAGCTACTCATCTGTGGTGAGACGTTGCAGTGGATAGCAGGGAGGAGACACACGGCTCTGTTCACTTGCCTTTGGTTTTGATAGCCGTCTCTATTCTTGCAGCATCTCTGTCGGGGTCGAAGTCTGCAGCAGGTACCACTGTGGGGAACTTTTCTTCATGGCCCTGAGCAAAGCAAATCAGTGTAAGAGGTTAAAACTGTGCTGCTATAGAAACATATTATAAATGAATTCATGCTTGTGTGTGATGCTGTATGAGTTTTTATCATAAAGATAAAAAAAAGGAAGCGTGACATTACCCCGATGTTGATGGTAAGTTGTCCGAGAAACTCCGATATCATTTTGACCGTCCTGAAAAAGACCAGATCTTGTCATCAGATCTCACTGTAATCTTCTTACTGACTTGAATGAGTTCACGTTTATGTTGACTGAAGATATTATCACTTGAGCCAATGTAATCTAAACAGAAGCAGATAATCTAGATTTATCAAGTTGCTGCTTTTTGTACAAATGAGTTACTGTAGAAGTATTAATTTTATCATTTGTGATTCATTGTTTTGATCAGTTTGCCGTCGTCACATTCAGCTTTTATCAGAATCATTCAGGTGGTGTTGACAGTCTACGCTCTCAAATCCTTTTCCAGTCTGACACTTTCATTACAGCAACACCAAAGCGACACACCCTGGAAAAAAGAGCTTCTGTGCTCCAGTCTGTTATGACAACTGATTACAATCACATGCACGCAAGAAAACAGGTTTAAGAAACTCAGACTGAAAAACAGTAATGAATTAAGTTAAAAAAAAACAAAAGTTGTTTGCGCAAATTAAATGACAGCTACGTGGAACTTCCAAGTCTTTAGTCATGACTCATGAATGCAAGATGGAAAATTCCATAAACCTTTGTACAGTGTAAAGTCAAACCGAATGGAAAAAGAGTTGTTCAATGTGTAACTTCACCAAACTTACCTCAGTTGTAAAAGTTGAGATGATGCAGAGATTTGTGCCGGTGATGTCTAAGTGAAATGGGTGTGGAGGCCGAACTTATGTGACATAGAGAAAGGCCTCCCCCTCTTTCACTTCCCCCCTGACTCAGGCTCACTCCCCTTTCCATGCTCTCATGACTCCACCCTCTTCCACTGCAAGTACACTCGGAAGCTCAAGCCAGGCAGATTAAAGTTTTAAAGCTTTGTTAAGTTTTCTCACACTCACTGTTCAGAGTGACTGCAGCTCTGCGCCTTCGGGAGATTTTCAAGGTGGCGTCTAATCCTGACTTTGCACATTCCAGATGCTACAAACATCTGCATATTACAGACATACACCACACTCCTGAATGAACACTCAAAACTTTATTGTTGCTCCTGTTTTACAAAAAACATCACAAAATATACAAAATGTCTTTGAGCAAAACACAAACATAAAAAATGACAGATTCTATGCTGCAAAAGTGCTTCAGTATTCACATTCATATTTAAGGATATACTGTATTTCTGATGTGAAACCTAAAAGTTATGCCCTTTCCTTTCCAACACAGCTCCAGCTCCTCTGACTTAATCTGTGATATTAAATATGAACATAAAATTATCACATATGATGAAAGACTTTAAACAGACTTCTGAATTAGATTTTTTATATATTTGTTACGCCTGGCCGCACGTTTCTTTTTGTTTTTCTTTCCTTTTGCATTCAAGTTGTTCTTCTGTCCAGCTCCATGGTTGTTAGACTGGTGTGTTGTCTGAAAGGACAGAAGATAGCAAAAAAAAAAAGTGCCATCTGATTATTTATCAGGTTACAAACCAAGCATCATCATAAACTACACACTAAATCAATATTTTTGTTGTTTGTACTCTCAGAGGTGCAAACATCTGTGGCATGTGTTGATCTTGCTTGATTAAGAGTTATTTTCCTCTACTGGTTGACACCTTCAGAGACGTGTTAACATCTTCACTATGTGGGAATTGTAGACAGGCATCCAATGAATGTCTCAGAGTGTACACCAGTGAACTCAGCTCTGCAGAACCTGGTATGCTCGCTATTGTCCCTGTTGTTAGTTTTGGGCTGGCCAAGTATGCAGAAGTCCAAGGCCTCAGCTTGTCTGATAAGAAAATAGTCTCAAGTTTTCCTTTGACCAAAACTTAGCAGACGTGGCGCTTCGTTTACCGTGGCTTTTGGATAATCTCTGAGTTTATGTCTACGAAAGGTGTGGACTTCCTCGACATTAACCACACTTGCTTCCAACAACCTTTCATATCATGTCATTATCTGACCATCCATTGTTGTTGCACCTTTTTCACAGTTCCTTTTGTCAACACAGTAACAATGGGAACAAAAAGGAATACACACCTTTTGGAAGATTTTTGGTGGAAAGGTGCAGGGGGCCCGGCCGTGTTTCTTGTGGAAGGGAAGGACCTCGACTGGATTTACGGGTATCCAGGGCACTTGGCCGGAGGTTGGGGGTTGTGGAACGGAGCTGTGGACCTGCTGCAGGTTGTACGCCCCCCGACTCACTTTTCCATCAGCTGCCTTGTATATGGTCACAAATGGCTGCCCTGCTTGGTGCACAATCAGGTACTGTCCTTCTTCTAACCTACAAAACCAAACCGAGTCACTGAGGGTGTGTTCAAGTCAAAACCCACACACTGAAACATGTTGTAGCACTGCAAGCACTGCTTATTCCTCGGATGAATGATGACTGGAATGTAGGTAAAAAAGAGCCTTCCGACAGCTGAGGGTGACACATGTATTGTGTGTTGTTTGAGTAATCGATTGTGTAATTCTCCAACACAAACATGAAGGCAGACTAACGTCACACATTTCTCGCCCACGGCAGTCAGACTGAACTCTACGACGATTTCATCATCTTAAATACAGTGTGAAGAAACATGTTCTGCAACTACACAACAGAGTTTAAGGAAAAACCCTTCTCATAATTTTGAACTGTGCATTCAATCAATCCTCACATATATACACATGATTTTATAGTTTAAATACATGTTTCCATTAGGACCAATACATTTAAACCTGCAATATTAATGCAAACCTCATCTACAAAAACATTCTTTCTGCACAAATTATTTAATTGTGAACACTTTTACAACTTCATATATTTGCAATTGAAGGTTGAAGAGGGGGAATGAGGACAGGGAAGCTCAGCACTAATAATCTACAAACAAAACTAAGATGATTAACGTTCTCTACAGCTTACCCAGTTAGCTTTTTCAGTAGGTGGTGCAGTATATTCAGTGACTTGGAAGGCCTGTGGATGAAAAAGACATCACTGAGTTTCATTCTGTCTGCTTTGACTGGGATCTACATTTCAACAGCGACTAAGACGACAGAACCGGCGGTGATGAAAGCTGCGATTGATGAAAAAGGCCTGGATTATTGATTAACCGGCTGAATCTTAAAACGACAACCTCTAAATCATTCCGGAGGTGATCAGGTTATTCCTAATCATCTGCACATATGTGTTCTGACAACACTCACTTGAACCCACAGGAGATGTTCTGCTTCCAGTCGTCAGGCAGCTTTCGCTGGAGCGCCACTTTTGATGTGTGCGCATTGATGTGAGCTGCAGAGTCAAAGAGGGGAGGGTGAAACGCACACGGAAGGGAACAACAAGAGCTAGTGAGCGTGCACATCAAGGGCTTCACTTCATCATCCGTGCCATTCCTAGTGCTTAGTGCTAGTGCTTACAAAGTAATTAGTCTGTGGTGATTTGCCAGCATTGTTACAAGCTTGAGTGGGAGGTAAGAAAGCCTTGTTGGTCCTCTCTCTCTCTCTCTCCTTTTCCTGCCTCCCACTCCTGCTGGAACGGCCTGCTTGTTTCAACTGTGCCTTCCTTCAATTATGGGGTATTTCAGAGCCTGCAACCACAGCCGTAAATACACAATTGGGGAACGCCACATGATAAACCACATGACGAACAAGGAGTCACCAAGCAAAGAAGGAAGTCTTTATCAGCTTATTGCATAATATCATTAACCGGGAGATATGGCATATTTTTTTCATATAGATAAAATATTCTCACTGTTTTTGACTGTTCCTTTTCTTGTACTACTGTTGCCAACCTATCAGTTAGTCTGCTTTAAACTGACAGATTCTCTTTTTTAAAAATCCAGGGTCTCAGTGCCTGATACAGGGTCACACCCATTCTTGAGTTAAGCTGTGTTTATAGCCATGAAGCTATAGGAAACATTAAATAAGCTTCTTTAACTGCCAACGTGGACTTTATGTCAACTGTACAAACAGACTGTAAAGATGGATCTAGAAACTAACCTCTTTGACTGAAAAAGATGCTTTATGCTGGTAAGACGAAGCTATACATTACCAGACAACACCTACATAAGTCAACAATACAGTATACTCAGTGCAGGAAAAAAGGGGGAGTTTTCCCTGAATCTTGAGCTACAAGTAAGCAGACCATGGGCTTTAACAATATGTATCACGGGAATACAACCGAAAGCTCAAAACAGTATTTAGCTTAGCTCTGCACATGGCATCCTTTCTAATTCCCCACAATCACATGTGGCTGTAGCTATGGCAACAAAGTAAACTTAACATCTACACAGTCTGGGCAGGATAGTGAGTCATCTAACGACTATTCCATTGGTTTGTGGGAAGATCCGCCTTGTGGACTCTGCTTAACCCAGTGGGGGCAAAGAACAGAGAAAAATGCTTCTGTAAGCCCCATAAATAATACTTTGGCAATTTTTTTTTGGCACTTAAAGGCTAAAGGGCGACAAGTTTAGCCTCACATTTTGTGCAATTTAAAAAACAGAATTTATAAAGAGCAGGACTACAGAAAACACTGATAAAAGCTTTACCTATGTGGGGTGCTGTGCTGGAGTGGAGCAGGGTCTCTGTCCACAGCTGGCAGGCCTCACTGCTGGTTAGACACTCAACACCATAACTCAGTTGGTACTCCAGCTTAGGTAAGACGTACACTGGCACAAACTATAGGGGCAGAGCACAATGGACATGAGTAGCGCTGTTGCATACATCATTTCTATATGTTAATATATGAGATGAAACTAGAAAATCTGGAGCATATAATAAATTAAAATACCTTGTTTTGGTTGTTGCCTACTCTTCTTGTATGAGCCAGAGAAACGGAGCTGCGCACCATCAGTAACAAATCTTGCAGGCTGTAGAGCTTGTACAACACGTTGCCCTCTGCTGGAGCCTCGTAATCCTGTTCGTCCTCTGCACTGGCCTGCAGGTCTTGTGAAAGTATTTCTGAGTGGGGGGGCATAACACATTGTATGTTAATCAAGTCATACAGACACAACTTAAATCCTCAAAATGAAAAGCTTTTAACACGTACTTTTGTGCTCTGTTTTTATGTTGACAACTGACGGTTCGCGAGGAACCCCACAGGTCTCCTCATCCTCGTTCTGGTTTCTCTCCAAATATGAGGACACACAGGGTTTAACCAGGGATGTCGGATGAGAGGGAACCAAGGATCCAACACATCGGCTGGGTGACTCAGTGGAGCTTTTGGTTGTGTCGGTGGCAGACTTGAACATGGCTGTCTGCATGCGCAGAATCTCACCGAGCTGGTCCCCAACGACCTTTGTTCTTTTCGTTTGTGGCCTGCATCTTGCACCTTTATGAGGGGAAGATGGCTCCGACTTTACAGGTGCAGACTCAGAGGTGGGGTTTGCAGTAGTTTTTTTTGCAGGTGTTAATCCTGAAGACACAGAATCATCAATGACCAGCTTCTCATCATCTGAGTCTCCGGTAAAAGCCATGTCTTCATCAGTCTCTTGGGCAGAGTCCTGGCTCATTGGTTCAGTCTTTGGCACAGTGGTCTCACTCACTACTGGTTGAGCAGGTTCAGTTACAGAATCATCCATGTGGATCAAAGAGCTCTTCGTCTCCTGTTGTGAACTGCTGCTCGCACTCACAAGATGTTCACTCAACCTTTTAGTCTCATTTAAAAGCGGGTAACTTGAAGCATTTTTACTTTGTGCACATCCATCCTGCTCTTTCTCCACCTTCATCGAGGTTTTCGTGGCTGTTTTCTCTCCAAACGTCTCCAGGTCAGTGAGGTCGACCTCAAAGTCAAGACCATTGTCTTCAAAAGACACCAAATTTCTTTTGGAGCTCTCCTGATTTCAGTAAAGACAACAAATAACAATAAGACGATTTACATGATACCACATGAAGACCACATCTTTTGCAGGTCTACATACCGATGAAATCTGCTGCTCACTCGCAGGAAGCTCCGTCATTAAATGGAAGACATTTTTACTTCCGTTACTAATGATGGCGAGCTTCAGACTCTCCTCGTGGTAGATATGACTCCTCTCTCTCACTGTCATTTCAGTCTTCAGAAGAGGCGAATCTATGTACACAGCCTTCCTCTGACTACCTGTAAATATGACACAAAATAAATGACTATGTGAAACAGTACCACCATGAGGACGCTCAATATCAATACACAGTAGTGTGTGTCACACTTCTGTTCTGTTAGATATTGTATTTGTTCTATAAACATGATATATATATATAATTTTTTAAAGTTTCAACACTCAAGCAAAACCACTATATACACTGACAATATTAAACCATTAATTTATGGCAAGCTATAGCTAAAACTATTCATCTTATATTGGATGTATAAAGCCTTCTAATGTAAAATAAAACTTCAAGCATCATTTCTTTTGTCATATTTCACTAGTATTCAGCATTTTATTGCTAGAGCTGTCAATATTCAAATCTCTAAATCTATTTGGAACAAGTCTAAAATCAAACTGTAAACCAATACAAACAAAAACCATACTGCATGTTTCTGTTTTTACAAATGTCATCGTACTTCACATCACTGATTCTACTCTCTCTTCTGCTTTGGCATTGCTGTGGACTAATGAACCTGAGATCACTATCTAACAAAGCACACCTCTGATGTATTTAAATGTGGTTTTGTATAATAAGGAAGTTCTGTGTGTGCATCCCTCACAACAACATCTTTCATATCTATATACTAAAATAGGACAACAATTTGTGTCCCTTTTTGCCCTTAGCTGAAACTGAAAGACAACACAAGGGGCTGAGAAGAAAATAAACAGAAAAAACAAAGGCATGTATTGTCCTTCTAGTATTTTTACACACTGGAAGGAAATGTTAAATGGGCTTTAATTATGCTTATATTCCACTATGAAGGTTTGAATCGGCTTGTGAAAATGCTGTACCTTTTCCTGGGTTTAATTTTACCCACACAGGCAGTTCCCATTGTTCCGCAAAGTCAGGGCCGTTGTTGTTTAGCAGCGTGAACAAAGCATCTCTAGTCAGACAGACGTGAGGCTCATAACAGGCACACAGCTTCTCAGCATTCCCATCATTACTGATCGTCTGTAAAGAAAAATAACAATACGTCACACGACCACAACATCGATCAAATAAATACAAGCAGCTACAACTGTCCACAGCGCGGCGTGTGACACAATTAGCAGTGGTTTTGCTGAGCAAGACATGAACACCCTCTGGTGTCTTTTGCGAAAATTGCAAGAGCTGAAATAGAGTTACAATAGACCTGCGGCCATGAATCCCATTCTAGCAGTAAACCATCTCTGTGACTTACTTTATTGGAGCAATTAAAAAAAAGTGAGACGGTTGCTTACAGCGTGCATGTCCTTAGCTTTTTTAGCTGGAGGATTCTCTGATGAAACACTCTGATAATCCGATGCAAGCGGTGTATCAGCGGGCACTATTGTGTGGTCTGTAATAGTCACATCGCCCTGGAGAAATAAAAGGTACAAATATGCAAATAGAGGAAGTTAATCAACACCAAAAGACGGATTCTGCAATTCAACACTTAAAGTTAAAAGGGAGAAAAAAAAACTGGACAATGACACTTCTGAACAACTTAAGTATGTGAAATGATAATCCTACACTTGTCACAGTGGATCAACACTTCAAAAGCACACTACCATGGTCAGCAGCTGTTTTTCAAAGGTCAGATTTAGGCCTGGATTGAATGTCCCTCCTGTCAAACTGGTCATCTCCTGGATCTGGTAGAGCTCAGGAAGTGTTTTCATGCATTCTAAACAGTTCCTGAGGACCTCCTGAAAAACACATTTGGTCTCTGTGGTTTAATACTTAGAAACACAAACCACAAAGAGATGACAACAGGTTGGATCCTTGTAATATCAGTACCTCTGAATACTGCATGGCTCCCTGTGTTATGAAGTTGTAGTCGTCGGCACATAGTCTCGACACATCTTGCAGGTACCTCGTGAACTGCATCACTTCGTTGTTTACTCGTGTCTGTAAGTTCTGAAATATAAAAGCAGGTGATTTGCAAAAGCAATGCAACTAGAATGAGCAGGACTGAACGGACTTTAAGAAACAAATGCCAGTACCTGTGAAATGACCCTGGTTTGCTTACTCGTCAAAAAGTCAACATATGTCTTTTGTTCGTTGCTGGAAAGGCAGGACATACATGGGAAGGGCAGCCTGGGTTCAGGATAAGCAGCACTGGCTTTAGTCTTCTTCTGCTTCACTGTTTTTCTTGAGTTTTTGGCGTCCTTACACTCGTTTGTGCTTTCAGCAGCACTGTCTGCACATGCATCATCACTATCACAGCTGTCCCAACAGGACGCTTGGCTGCTGATGCAACTATTGTCTTTTAACTCTGCAGCTTCTTCTTTGGAAGGAGAGCAGGAGGCTTTCACAGCCCCGACATCACACTCCTGTTTTATGCTGGCATTCTCTTCAGGGCTTGGGAAAGGAGGGGAAAAAAAAGGTAAACAACCACATCAATTCAAAATTTGCTAGTTAGTCTTTGAACGAACAGTGAAAAAGCACCTTAACTGATGTATTACACGACATATTAATTAACCAACATACCTTTGGAGGAAGGCCCACAATTCTCTAATAGTGGGTGCGAGGGAATACTTGTCATAGAGATCTCTGGAAAAGAAAGGCGCTTCAGGGACTGGATCGTCCTCCCTTAAATTAAAAAGAGAAAGCAATGATATTAGAGAGCCTGTGTTGTTCACATATAGCTCTACTGGACACACCTTTGTATTGAGACAAACGTGAATTTTATTAAACACGCAAAATAGTGAGCTTAGCTGGTGTCTTCAAGTTGCTTTTGTGAAGAAGTGTACGTTATAAATTGTTGTACTTCTTGGATGGATGGTGTGGCTGCACTGTTTTGCCAAAGCATATCATACAGCACTAAGGTCTGTTTGAAGTGAAAGCAGTAAGTTTGACCAAAACTCCAAAAGTTTACTATAATAAAAAATAAAATTCCATTACAAGACTCATTATTATCTCTGTGTCTTGTTAGCATCAGTAACTCCACCTGACAATTAACAGCCATGAGGGCAACTAAAGAAAGAGCATGTGAAAAACACATTTTCCAAGCTAATTACCCAACATTCAATCTTCCAGACAGTATAATGTCACTTTGCTGTAATAATATCACAGATTAGTAAAGATTTCTACACATGTGGTCAGTATCACACATGACACTGTAAAGGTTATCACATAAAGACATTTTTAATAAATGAATAAAACAATAAATTATACTCTGAACATGATTTTACACTGGCTAAAGGCAAGCACACAGCTTTTTTTCGCATGCAATGTAAGCATTAACCCTTTATGGGGCAAGTGGCCATATCTGGTAACTTCCTTTGACGTTCAATATGTCCACCCTGTGCCTCTGCTTGAGCCCGAAGAATCATATGCACTTTGGTTTAGTTTTTATATTCGAGCCAATATCACAACCTTACGAAAAATGTCACTAAACAAATGTTCCAGGCGCTTTGTTACTGGTTTGCATTGAACTCCACTTTGATTTATTTAGTGAGATTAGTGCCAAAACCACTACCCCGAAAACAATGTTACTAAATGAACTTTCCCAGCACTTTATAAGTACTTTGTTACTGCTTGTGTAAGTATCATTACCTCAAACTAAAAAGCTTCTGAATAAATGTTTTTTGGCAGTTTGTTACTTTTTCTTTTATTTATTATAAATTCCCCTTTTTAAAAACCGTAGATGGGCAAGTTACAATATATGGTAACTTTATTAATCTTGATTTGCAACTTTTTTTAAGTCACGAAAGTAAAAATAACTTGAAATATCCATCAATAACACCCTCGGGTTGACATTTTCATTTTCCTAGTATTTCAAGGAGTGCCCTATAAAGGGTTAATGCCATTGCCAGTGCCTTGTTTTTAGCAGCTTATCATGGGTCATTTCTGATCAACTTAAACTAAAATAGTCGTCAATACTGTGTCAAACATAACAAAAATGCAATTTTTTATGCCTTGAAATAATACCAACTACATAGTTTTGTACAAAACATGAGTATAACGCTGTCCTTAATAATGTTTAGCGTTATGTTCACCTCTCAGCCAAATGAGATGAGTCATTTAAACCTTTTCAAACTGTAATTAAACTAAGCTCACACCGCCTAGTCGACCTGTAGAAACCCAAACAGAGCTGCCATGCTGACATGTGTCACAGCGCTACACAACATCAAGTCAGAGACAACACACACAACTTCCAGTTTCAGCCTTCAAAGTAAAACATAAAACGTCAGTCGGTTGTTGTGCTTCAGTGCATTGTCAAGTAAAGTCTGGCTCACAAAAATCGCAAATATACACATACCAGTGCTTTGTTGGCGTAAAACCGTCTTGAAAAATATAATACACTGTCTAGTAAACAACGACAGTTCACCTATTCCCGATACATTAATGAAACGGCTTGAAAAGTAACGCTAATTATTTAACATCCCCGATTGTGTCGAGCTTTGCTTTCTTAACTTCCGGTTAGCATCCCGACTCATTAGCGTAGCTTGACTGCTAGCTAGCTACGGTTCAGTTAGCCTGGTGGAGCCTCGTTTGGACTCTCTCGGTTTCGACTGAAAGTACAACAGCAAAGGTGAACGAATAGTAACTACTCTACAGAAGCAACCTAATGTGAATCACTGTCCAGTTAAATTCACTGTTACTGTATAAGTAGTTAACGTTTGATTAGCATAGCTAGCTGTTAGCCACAACACAGCTGAGTGAGCTGGAGTCGGACTCTTGTTTGCTAACATTAGCCAACCCAAAGTTAATGCAGCGACGCCACTTCGTTGAATGGAAATACAATTATAGAAAAGTAATTGTCCCTTACCACACCAGCTCCATTCTTGTCACTTGTTGTCCGTGGAGATGACAGAATATAAACTACCGGCTACATGGTTGTTTATGTCAGTTACCATGTGTGTTACTTAGCAAACAAACGTTGGTTCAGCGACACTCTTCGTCTGCTGATGTTATGCCGACATTTGTGTACATTACTGCCCCCCTCTGGATAGTCACGATAATCGATTTTATGGTGTATTTAGTCCATGAATAACATAATCCTCCTTTGCACCTTTGGTTTAGTGATCTCTAAGTCTTTCTCTAAATAGGCTCAATATTTCTTTTTACTCAAGAATATGGGAGACCCTTATCTAAGAGGGTTTCTGCTCCAAACAAACGATCCCCAGTGCAGTATAGCTGAACGGTCCTTATTCTAGCCCAGGGAGCCTGAGCTGCCCATTTCTGCTGCAGCTATTCTCTCCCCTCACGGACTCGAACCTAATTAAGACCACAGTCTGCAGCCCTGTCTCTAAAATTAAAATAATCCCATGCACTGTCCTCAGCTGCACTCTGTGAAATCAGACTAAATCTGGAGATCTCCAGTGCAGACACTTATAGGCGCACCTACCTGGATCTTTTGCATTTTGTGCTCTACATGGTGCTCGTATCCACATTGATCTCAGGCATTAACCTTAGAGTACATACACTATTGTAGCAGTGAGGTCCATAAATATGTAACTGAAATCTAAACCTCTAAAACGAAAAGCAATCAGAGCATTATATGGACACAAATAGCTCAAAACCTTCTATTGGTTTTGCTTAAAAAAAAATCTTTTTGCAGGAAGTTAATGATAAAATTATGACAAATGTACACATATTTTAAGGATGTGACACAGATGGGTATATAAAGAATAAATGATCTAAAATTCATGCATATTATTCCACAGCTTTATCACGTTGCAGTTCATAATACTTCATCAAAATCGCACATTTATTAAAGGGAAAAATTAGATGAAAAATTCATTTTCCTTGCAGGGAAATTGAGTCATCCATTAAAATAACAGACATTTTTAGCTTAAAGCTTAGAACCTACAGAAGCTGTTATTAGGAATTTGTGGAGGAAATGCTGAGAATGATCTTTTAAGAGACGTCATCAAACTAGCTTCTGATCTTTAAGTTGCCAAAGATTCCACATCAGTGCTGCACATTGTTAGATTGACTCTGTTTTGAGGGAATACGTTTGATTTTTTGACACAAATTTCAATGGATCATTCTTGTTACAAGCACATTAATATCTGAATGTACATTTATATATGCAACTGGTATGTTTGTTCTTCTTTTTAGTGTCTGATGAAAAGAAATCGATATCGTTCTTTAGATTTTCATTGCGAGGTGCAAATATTTACACACAAGCATTGACCTAGTTTACATTCTCTGCTCAAACATATGGAAGTTTCCATTGAGGCGAGGCCATCAACTCTGATTAAATGTTGTAGCACTAATTAGGACACTTAGCCCTGATTAAGTTGCTGCTGCCGAAAAGTATACTACTTGTTTCATTCCGCTTAAGTGAGTGAGAGTGAGCCGGAGAGAGAGAGACAGAACACAGAGACAGATAATCAATCAGGAAAAGAAAGCCCATTACAAGCGGTAAATTTTATTATGGGATAACAGCACATAAAGCACATCTAAAATCGATGTGTCCAATGCACTTTTAATAAAGGTAATATTAAAGGTACAGTTTCTAAGTACAATATAACAACATTCATATTAGAATGAAAAGTATTTAAAAGACAACATTAAATTTCTTATTTTTCTTTACAGCTGTATTTACAAAATGAATCAAAATACTTATTTTCATATTTAAGAATCAGACAAGAAGGAGCAAAACTACGTTTGTGAATAGACTACCTGCTAAAGAGAGTTCAAAAGAGCTGGATAAAAAGGTACATGATCATCTGTCCCCATTTAACATCAGTAGCAAACGTGTGACTTAGAAATTTGTGACAACCACACACTAGTTTCGGCTTTCCCATAATTTGTACTGCTTTTTGCATGGAAAAAAAAAGAATCCACCCCTGCTCCACCCACCCTTCATGTTACCCCAACAGACTGAGGGCACATTGAACACAGAACATTAAGGAAATCCAGATGTGTTGTATGCCTGTTTTACAAACACATACAAATACTTAATATACAATGCATTAGTAAATTTTCTGTTTCTCAGTGAAATAAAAAAAGTCAACACAAACAGAAAATGACAAAAAAATCTGGATTTTCTGTTTGTTTTTGCTTGATCGGAAAAGAAAAATGTGCAGGTGAACGCTTCCGTAATATTATCCACGAGCATTTATTGACCGTTCGAGATCAACATGAAACAAACAAATGAAACAAGGTGAGGGGTGACATGTACACTCTAAACGGACCGGCTATACATTGAAACCCTTCAACATCAGCGCATCAACCCACGTGAAAAATGATCAACAACACATGAAGAAAGAATCTGAAAAAACAGTTTTTTAAGCAATGTGAGAGTGAGAAATTCATCCTCATGTACAAAATACATTGTCACTTCAGTACACGTCTGGAAAAAACCACAAAAAAAGACAATCAAAACCATGTATGCATTTTGTTACACCGAGAGGCACTCAGTGTGATACGTTGTGTATTATTGCAAGCATATTCTTACTGATATTTGCTACAGAGTAGAGAGAAAAAGGTCAACTTTGTCTTCAAATGGCAATCCTTTCATGTACATTTTTAACACTTCATGTGGTGCAAAAAGGTTTATGCCACTGGTCTGAAGAAACCACTGCTTCAGGATAGTCTAAAATGGGGAATAACAAAAGCATACCGAGGCTCTGTTTATTAAAATCAAAGCACCGCTTCCCTGCATCAGGTGAAGGACAATGCAGACACAGGAGGTAAATAGTTAGTATCTTAAAACCTGACAAACTATAGCCTCAGTGAGTGGTTTGTTTCTTTTTTTTTACAATCAGACAAAGAAAAAACACAATACTGCTGTTTCAGTTTTGAATATTATAATTTTTCCACAAACCAGAAAAGCAACCTTAAATAGCTTGTTAATTAGCAGATACTAGCTTTGCTATAAGTCAGAAGGAAATAAGTGCCTTAGTCCCAGGACTAGCACACTGATACAGGTGCCTGCTGGGTAATTTTACCACTATCATTTTCATTATCATTATTATTTATTGAGTCCTAATATCAATAATACATTAATATGCAATGAAATGAATGAACTAATAGGGCGGCCAGGCTTAGGAATCAATACTTGGTTCACAAAATTAACTTACCTAGCACCACACATCAGGGCAACACAAAATTAATGTCAGCACACCCTATCTCTATCAAACTAATCCTAAAGAAGGGAAGCAAAGTAGAAACAGTTTTTTTTATCGTACAATAGGATGTAATTGATAAACAGATAAATATTTTCACTGGGTAGGCCTTAGTAGCAGTATTTTCCTCTTACCTATACAGACAGAAGTTACAACGCTACCTTTATACATGTGATCAATAATAATATTAAATATGGTGAATAAACAGCCGAGAATGAGGGAGAGAGTGAGAAAATAAGATATACAGCATACAGGCCATGTCGAGTTCTTAGTTCTCCACCTGGGAACAGAACTGGTCAAATATACAGATGAAACATAAAAACGTCCACAAAATCAACACAAAAATAAAACAAAACAAAAAAAACCAAAATAGTGATAAATAAGAGGTGTATTTACATGCAGATGTTCAAAGACTATTATGCACAAAAGAATGAAAAATAATACACAGACATATATTATTGCTTGACATTCGATTATGGCTAAAAGTTGCTTTTTCATTTTTTCATTTTTTTAAAACTATATTCTTAAATGTCATTTTTAATCATAAATTCTTATCAACCTGTGCTTTGGAAAAATGAGTTTTTTGTTAAAAATGTGATGACTGACTCATAATTATGGGGCGACACACCGGCAACTTTAAGCGTGACATAACACTGATCTTCACAATTTACGGTCAAGGAGACTCATTTTCACAATTTACAGTCCAGAATCGATTTCAGCTCATCGCAGCTCAGGCTGTAGCCACATTCTGGCCGAACTGATAACAAAGCACGTTTTCACTGCGAGGCCGGTCGCTGTTGCCTCGCAGCGCTTCCTTGCAGACCGATGAATTGTAGAAGGCATTATGTCATGCTTTTAAAAAACCTACACCTATTATGGATGGATCAAGCTCAGCATTTCCAAGACCATTTTTCTTTTTTTTCTTCTTCTTCTGCTTTCAAAAAGTCGAAAATAAAAAATCAAAACCTCCTCGTCCACATAACCCTGTTCCTCTGAAATTATTAAAGCCTTGTCTGGGGTTTATTTTATTCACACACTGTGAGAACAAACACATACACGCACGCGCACACACACTATTGCTTTGTACAAACAGACAACAGAGCAGAGACAGAAGGACCAGCACATTTTACTGTATACTATACACTGATTGAATAGCACACGTAGCATAAGAACCCCCTACTTAAACAGGGATTTCTCAAATACAGAAGGACATCACTTTTCAGGCCTGTGTGAAGGCGAAGTTTATAGTTAGACACAAGTTTCCATGTGTTTGGTGACCATTTTCTGCTATCCTGCCACTATTGCAACCATACCAGTACATAAGAGGATGGAAATAGAGTGATGGGGCTTTATTATTACTTTTTTTGTTATAGACTGAGAGTAAACATTAGAAATTGGAGTCAGCTGTATGAATAAAGTCAATTCAAAAAAAGGATGATGACTGCACTGTAGAGACCCGTAATTGTAACACAAGGCATATTGCTTGCTATATATTGTAGAACACATTACAAGCCACTCAACTATTTAGACTTGAATGAAAACACATTTTCACTTTTATGAGAAAAGAACCCTTTTGGTGGTAGACCTTAGCTGACCATATTTGACAAAAAATACTGAATTGCTCATGTGACCATCAAGTAATATTACAACATCCTAAGAAAACAAAGGATAATTTCAAGAAAACAAAACAAAAAAAAAAATGCAAATAATTAACAGGAAATTAGCCAAATATCCATTTCTTCATTATTTTCTGAACAGTTAAGTGCTGCTCTAGGTGTTCAGTGTGCTATGCCAAAAAAAGTTCAGCCAAGCTCCTCTCATCAATTTTTTTTTTTTCCTTCTTTTTTTTTTGTACAAGATCTCGTAAATTGACAAAAGAGCTAATCAAATGCTCTGCAACTCCAGAGGAAAGCGAGCTGTTTCTTCGGTCTACCTGTTACCTCCCTGAGCGTTCACACCTCATCCTCTTCGCTGCTCTTGCCGGGCCGTTGGGCCTCTCAACCTGGATTGTCTAGCAGTGTTCCAGACTGGGTTTCTTTTGCTTTTGAGACTGAGGTTTACTTGTCGTAGAGGGCTTGTGCATATCCAAATAGCATTGGATCATAACAGAGATTATTACTCAGGTACAGCATATCTACTACAACCCAAACACAACAGATTTAGTATTGCATAAGAATATTTGGTTTTCTAACAAAGAGGGTTATCATTTGTAAAGACCCTGATGACACCATTTTATAACCAAAATTGATTTTCGTGTGACAGAAATATGCTGCGTACTGAAAAACTGCAGTTTGTAAAAGTGATGGGGTTTTTTTTCTCTTTTTTTTTTTAACAAATGAGATTTTTTTTTAAAACTTGACTTGGCTGGAGGCCCCTTATGGACGTTGGTAATGTGTAAAATTCGGAACAACTCAGTGATGAATTTTCAAATCTGTAATTTCAACCACTTCCCATGGAACATCCCTGAACAAAAAAAAAAAAAAACTAAATTAAAAGCTAATGAGTAAAAACAAATGTCCTCTCAAACAGAAAGCACAAAAGAAACTCTTCCCTGAGGGGTGACAGCACAAGGCATTAACGCCTCGCGCAAATTGCACGGCAGAGGAATGATAGTGTGCAAACACAAAACAAAAGACAAACAACTGGATTTTATGTTACAGTCGGTGACAGATGTGTTAACATGCTTTGTTGGGTTTCTAAAGGGATAACACTTTTTTTCTTTTTTTTTTCTTTTGTTTTGCTCTTTTTTTTTTTTCTTCCTCCAAAGATATTTCTAGAAGCCGCTACTGAGATTGCTGGAATGTCTTAGGAATCCATTCTACATTATAGACGAGTAGACTGGAAAGCGGAAGCAACGACTACTGTTTGGCACATCCAGGGTTTTTTTTTTCTACCACTTTTACTACCACACTGACAAGAAAGACACACTCAACAAAACAGAAGCACAACAACAAAGCATTCTGAAAATAGCACTTGTCCTACCATTTTTATGTTTCTCCCCTAATCATACAAACAACAGCTAGTCTAATTATTGCAGGAATATAGTTAAGTGCTACCTGACATCTTTTTCTCTCCCTCGTTCTCTTTCATGAGTTTATTAACCAAAACAAGTTACAAAAATAGAAGCTTTACTACCAGACAAGGCTTTGAATATTCACTTTCCCTTCACTGTTTTCTTCTGTGTCCTGTTAACGGCGTCGCTGGGCCGAGGCTGCGGTGAGAAGGCAGAGAATAGTCACTCTTAAACAGCAGAAAAACGCTCAAAAAAACGCTTCGACAGAGGCTCATAAATGTGCTTTTAGGTTAAACCCCGGAGCTCTGTCGGTAAACTTGCTTGCCGTATCTTTATCTTCCACTAGATGGAACAATTGGATTACAGTCTGTGCGTGCGGTTTTTTCCAGTCCGACCACATGGCTATTCAGTGTTGATTTGTGCGACCTGGATGCTTCATTTCTTTATGTCCTCTCGAAACCTTTAAATGACGAGTTTTCACATTAAAACGAAATATTTCGAACAAAACAATTAAGAATATGAAAGTGTTGCAAATGTTCCGTGACAGTATACCTCAGATTTCTTGAAAAAAAAAACAAAAAAAAAAATGTTCAAACAAATGCCGTGACATCCAGGTGTGTTCAGAACAAAGTAACATCACTACAGGGTTTGTTTGCTGTTACTTTGTGTGTGCATGCTTGCTAAGGGGAGCATCAGAGCTACATTTTTGACAGGTGTCACGCTGGCAGTCGTTGAGGAAAAAACAAGGTGACGGAGTGTCTTTTAATTTGCCTTCTCATCCACGCCTCTCAGTTCACCAACCAGCGGCCACGCCAGCCCCCCTCCTAACAGACATCCCGAACACTTCCAGACCAGTATCATCTGCAGCTCCCAGGACTACCCTCCGTGACCATGATTCAACTTGTATTTCTTGTGCACATGCAACACATCACTAGGTAAATATACAAGTCTTAAATTAAAGAAAGGTGTAAATAAAAGTGCCTTATCAATTCAACAATTAAGAATGGTCTAACTACTAATATCATACATGTTATTTAAAATAGATTCTATAAACATTACTTTTTTCTGTATAGTAAGTACTTATGACCATATACCCTGTAGTACATTATAAAACAGGTGGAATGGACCCTTTTCATTGTGTTGGTGCCCTGTGCTTCTCCAGGGCACCTGTCCAGAGAAGGATTAATAGCAGATGGCCTTACATGATTTCACTATGCAACAATGGTGGATGGAGTCTTTGACAGCTAAAATCATTGCGTTTTCATTAGAATTACCAGAATTCTAGGTTTCTTTTTTTTTTTTTTTCCTCTTTTAAACGATTGTCCATAGAGAGGTGCCGATTGCATCACCATGCCAATGGAACCTCCCTCAAAGTTGCTGTGAGTTTTCATTCCAAGCACTGTGTCCAGAAGATACGACGGAAAACAAGAGAGAAAAAAAAAATGGCTGAACTTGACCAAAATGTGCGCATTTGCCAGTTATTTGTTGTGTTTTGGCGCTACGGTGCATTAAAATGAAAACACCAAGACTGTAGAAGGGGGTGTCATCTGGAAAATAATACTGATTCGTTTTAGGGATATTTTTTCCAAAAGTGTCTTATTGATTGTTTGCATGATTTTAAGTGAAACAGAGAAATCAGAGATACTGGTGAAAATGAACGGAGGGAGCTCCTCGTTAGAAAAGCGCATAAGAGGGTCAAGTTCAACCAAACAGAAATTATTTGTTCCTATCTCCTCTTCATGTCCCGTGGGGTGTCGGGTCCCACATGTCTTCCAAAGAGAACTAAATTCAATATAGTAAACCTTGACAATCAACTCCCTAAGCCCTCCCCTCCAATGTAAAAGAAGAAGTTGAACAGCGTGCCATCTGTCCGCTCTGGTTTGTGCAGGGCACCAGTAAAGTGTCTCAGATTCCTCCTCCACATTCCCCTACGGTGGGCACACTGGCACCTGGCGGGGGCTGCTACCCGTCAACGGGCATGGACTGCTCAAAGTCTGATCCAAACAGCTCCTTGTATAAGGGGGGGAAGTGGGCACGCACAATGTCTGGGTATATTGCTTTGAAAGCTGTAAGCTTCTCTGTATGCCTACTGCACAGCGCTCGCAGTGTCGACACTTTGCATATCAACTGTGGAGAGAGAGGAGACAGGCTGTTTAGATTCACAGGGAGGCAAGGACATGGAGCAATGGTAGTGAAAAACATTCCTCCCTACAGTGTATTCCGTCTCACACAGGGGCAAACAGACTTGTAAATATTGAGACAAGCACTCAGGCACGAGGAAAAAGTTGACACTTTATATTAAGGAGCTGGTACAATTGATAAATTGCCACTTCTCTGCTGATAAAAAGGCATTTCATGTCGCATTATAAATGTTTACCCTGAAATCTCGGTTCATTTAATCTAATACAATAAAAATGGTTTATGGCCTGTGGATAAAGATCCTAAACAGTGGGAGATTACGCCGCTACAAGAGCAGAGCATGCTTAGCAGACAGCCACTTTCAGGGATAATGGATGGAGTGTGTACTGCAGAGCACTGTACCTTTGTAAGAATACCATCCTCTCTGTGGTTCTTTTGCAGGACGTGCTGGAGGGCCAGTTGGATCTTCTGCTGGAGTTTCTCCACCTTCACCTTCTCCTGGAGCCAAGACCGGTCTGGAAGGTAAATTATCGCACACTTTTTATTACTGTAAACCGCATGTAAGCCCCTTAAGAGTCAACGTGGCTCATGTGAAAAGTAAGGCTGCAGAGCGGGTAACGTGAGAGGTATCAATTGTTAGTGAAAAACAGGAGGGCAACAGTGTTCATTGTTGTGGTGAATGTATGTCTGTCTTTTTTTCTTTGCACTGTGAGTGACACCTACCAGCAGACATCAACACAAAGGCGGAGAACAGGGCGATCTCATCCTCAGACAGGTGCATAGAACACAAGTTTTTCCCAAACTCGAAGACGGAGCTGATCAAGTCGTCACAGCCTGCCACAGCAAAGGACAGAGAGAGGGGGCTTAGGATGAGGAAGACCAAAGAACAACATTCACTCTTGATCTTTATTGGGAGAGAGGCACACAGGGAGGGGAGAGGAAGGGGAAGGAATGAAAAAGAGCGGCATGCTGACAGCACATGGGAGCGTCTTAAGCAGAACAGGCAATGCTTTTACTGAGTTTTGCCTCCCAGACGAGTCACTTTTGGCAGTTGGGTGGTGTTATGCAAGCCAAAATGAGGTCACTATTGAGGCTTTTAGTTAAATCAATTATCGGAGATAGAGAGAGACAGGCGGATGCCACCGCGGCTCGGGAAGCCCATCACTCTGCCTCCCCCGCCACGGACCCCTCTGTGTGGAACTCACAGGACACTGGGACGAATACACAAGCTCACTCACACACAAACACAGTGTTGGGGAATGGTAAACTCACACTAAGAAACATATTTCTGGATTTTTTACTGCCACTATGGGACACATTTACATTTTTTTTTTTTCCCCGTCAGAAGGTAGTTGGAAATGCAAGAAAATCCATGGTGGAAAATCTTAGTAATATCGTGGCAGTCAAACACGAATGCTATTTGCTTTCGCCTGAGATGTTTTATGTCAGACTATCAATGATAGTTTTGATAGCACTCTCCCTAAAGACACTCCGTCTGGCTTTATTTATTCCACAGTTACAGGAGCCATATGCAGCAGAGCCTCACTAGCATCTCTGTTCTACCATAAATAACTGCTGAAGAGACAGCAATGCCAGGTGAGGAAGGGATGAGTGCTCAGTGTTTGCTTCTAGGCGTTCAGCATTGTGCAGAACACAACAGCAGACTCTAATTTTGGCTGTTACACCAAGGAAGGGAGTAAGACACTGTAAGAAGCACACACACACAAACACGGCAGCTCACAAACGCACACACATGCACACTCATTCAAATGCGCGCACGCACACACACTTATATCCACTTCACTTACCTAATGACTTGAACACATCAGGTCCGGCATATTTTCCATCAAAATAGACTGTGTTGTTTTGCGAGTCAAAGGCACGGCACATTCTGACAAACACAACTTCCAAAGAGCCTGTGGAGACAGACAGGAACAAGATGCTGAATCTGAGCTTTGTTTCTTTCTCTTTTTTTTCCTCCTTTCTCCCTCACAGTTACACATCAGTCAGGGGTGCAAAACACATGATTGTGCTTTGTGCTAATCTTCAACAATATGAGTAACACAACCACTTTGAAATAAAGAAGCCTGCCGTCAGAGGAAAAAAAAAAAATAAAAAAATCTCCTCTGCAGATGAAAATATCATCGACAGAAGGCTATTCTTCCATAATAACATGCCAGATAAAAATTGTGCTTCATTCAGTAGTGACAGTGCTTATTCATTCAACCTTTATTTAGCTAGATAGGTATTTATTATATCCTACAATTTGTACCACTCTGTGGGAGTGGATAAGTGGATCAAGAAAATGCAACAGAAGCCACTATTGCCTCTAAGGGAGATGCTACTGTTTTAAAATGTCATGTCTGACAAGGAATCTCAGTCTTTATTTCATTATTCACATTGGTTGTGCTAATGTACAAAAAAAAAAAAAGAAAAACCCTGGGAAAGACCCAGGAGACGTGCTTGTTGGCTGCATGTGAAGTATGTGTGTGTCTGTGTGTTTGAGCTTTAGTATTTGTGCATAAATATAGGTGACAGTGTGCAAAGAGCCGTGGCAGAGGTATACATACTAATCTATCTGTACATCTTCATGAGAGCGGTTTGAATAGACATCACTGGTGTCTGGGACATGAGAGGCAGCCGACATGATGGGTATTATCTGAGCTCAGGAACACATGACTTATCTAATGCTGTGTCCGTCTCTGCTACGTATGTAATGAACAGAGGAAAACAGTGAGAGACAGAGAGGGGAAACGGGCGGGGTGGGGTCTCCTCTCTGTGACACTGTCTGTGCGTGTGAAGAAGAGGGCTTTGTGCAGTCAGGTCAGCTACGCCCTTGTGACAATGCCAGAGGGGGGTGGTAGTGGTGGGTGAGTTTGACGGCAGCAGGCCATGTTGACAGGCTGTCATACCTGCTTTCAGCAGCACTATCTGATCGTTCTGACACAGCTCCATGAAGCCGTCGATGCGCTTGGCAAACTCCACCACATACTGAATGGCCTCTGTTATTTTGATAGCACACAGCTGCCACATGACTTCCCGGGGCTAAGAACAGATAGGACAGAGAATGGGTTATCTGCTTTAAAACAATGGTTTTGATTACTGTAACTGCTGTAGAGGCCGAGACAGGCCCAGTAGTGGTCAGGCTACCTTGTTCTGGTAGCTCTCCACCTCCTCTTGAAGGAAAGCCTGCCAGGTCATCTGCTGCAACTCCTCTCGCAGATACTGACATGTCTCCATGTGTGACTTAGAGATGTTCTGGGCCAGGTGCTCTGAAATACAACCATCGTCAAAAACCCAAAAGATCACAGCTGAGATCTGAATGTTACTCACAAGGCTATGTGAAAGTGAAGACCTCACTGATGAAATATGCCACAGGAAAAGAAGATTTATTTACTGAGCTTTCATGAAGGAGGAGAGGCGGATACGCGTGGGCTTTTTTGACTGGGAAAAGGCTTGTTGACATTTCCTTTTACTGCCTGCAGGAAGCTCATAGCTTAAGGTTGAGGCAAAGCCAATCTAGTTATGACACAAATGCATGGAAAGGAGGAGGGGCGCCACGTTACTCACTGAAACAAAGGTCACATTTTCTCTGAGAGAAATATTGAGTATAAAAATTTAAATGGTTTTGAAAACACATCTGTTAAAAGGAGTTCCTAGGCACAGGGGAGCCTAAAAAAATGATTTCCCCAGACGCCTGCCCTGCTGGATCCTGATTGGCCCTAATTAATGGAAACTAATTACAAAAAAGAGGCTCTTTTAATGAGTGTTGGAGATGAGTCTCCAACCTCCTGCTATTTTAAGCAACCTTTGTGTCGTTTGCCCCACGGTTGAGTTGTTCTCCCCCCTCCTCCATTTTGCTGTCTCTCCTTTTGCCTCTCCCTCTCTTTCCTGCTCCTTACCTAGTTCAGCCATGGACACGGTGGGGGAGGTTTCTCCGTTGGTGAAGGAGCAGTAAGGGAAGAAGCCAGAGCCCGGGGCAAAGTCGCAGATGGGCTCCGGCTTGATGCCGTTGATGTCCAGGCCTGACTGGTCAGGAGATGGCTGGATGTCCAGGTAGAAGCTGCTGACCGCCGAGTCTGGTTTGCTGCCATCAGGGGTATGACCGTCCATGTAGCCGCTGAGGTCATCATGGAGCTCTGTGAGGCCATTGGCTGAGAGGCCATAGCTAGGTGTGAGCGGCTCCGCCTCTCCAGGCTGCTGTTGGTGGTCACGTTGCTGCTGCTGCAGCCGGTGCTTCTGGACCTCAGCGTACAGGCTGTCTCGCTGCTTCTTCGACATGCGGCCGAACTTCACTGCTGCAAATAGCAAAATGAAACAAGTGTCAGGCAACAGATCCAGAAGCTTCAATGCACAAGTTCAATAAATTACCAAAAAGAATTACTTTATTGTATTTCTGATCCTTTTTGTACACATCAGTTTTGGTAACATCCATGTTACTGACTGATTTAGCTAATTCTCCCACTGAGCCTTAAAACGTATGCTACATTAAGTCCACCAATAATTTCACTGGCAGGGTTATGTGTGCACAGATGATTTCTCCTGTTTCCTCAGTTTCAAAAGAACTTGTTCAATATGTTCAAAAACCTACATGACGTGGTATTTTTTATTACCCAGTCTTCACCAACCCTCATCCCATTGCACAGGAAATACCTGTGTACCTGCTCTGACCACAAATGGATTTATCTCACACTATTGACTTATTCTTTTGGGGAAAAAAAAAAAATCAATCTAGAGACGAAACAGATTGTAAGGAACCACATTTAGAAGCTTTTTGCCAATTTGTGCCTTCCACTGACGCAGCATGTTCTAACCACACTCTAATCTATGTTAAAGTCACATGTTGGCGTCAGACCAGAAGACACGTGCTTTAGCATTGTACTCAACAAGACTGATGCACAGGACAGCAACTCGGGGAGTGATGTACTCTCATAGCAGATAACAAAAAAAGCAAATCTTCAGGAGGGATCAGAGATTATTACAAGAACGAACAGCTTCATAAGTGCAGAGACACAGTGGTAACAAACGGCTTATCAGCCACTCGAACATGAGACAGGCGAAGTTGCTGCCTCCTGTTTCAAGGTTTCCAGACTAAACAGTAGCGCTGAGAATGAGACTCCTTGGCCGGTGTTCTGGGGGCCTGGCAGTAAGTCAGCCGGTCACAGTGTGTGTGTACATGTGTGCATGTGTTTGTCTATGCACGGTGGAAAGTGAGTGGAGCGACACAGAGGAGAGTGCGGGCAGATGGGCTCTGGTGTGTTCAGTGAAGGTAAGAGTCACCTTCGTCTGTCCTGAGTGTGTGTGTGTGTACATGTGTGTGTCTGCGTGTGTATGTGAAAGTGAGAATGTGTATTGCACACCAAGTGCTAATGTACTTCTGTGTTCATTCACGTTCATGAATATGAATGAACGTGTATATGAAGATGTGCCAGTCTCCGTGCATGCATGTTCAGGTTCTCACTTGCCTGTATGCATTCCTCAGAGCATCTTACTAAAAAAAAATATCATAGCTCTGCTGTGTTCTGATAGAATCTCCTCAGCCCAGTCTAGTCTGGACCAGCCTGACACAGCAGGAGCCTTCTTGTACACATCCCCACCTGTGTGCTCCCATTACTGCGTCTCAGCTGCAGCAGCACTAATGACAACCTCTAACAACCTCCTATTTCATCAAGCCCAGTTTCTATCACAGCAACAAATTAGGCCCACAGACAAAAGCACTCACCTACTAGTGGAAGACAGGGAACATGGATTGACATCTTAGCATGCGTTCAAGTCAGATTTATTTATTTTTTTCCAGAAACGTCCTTTGTGTCCGTTTGAGAATAATGACACCTCATCACTGTCTGTCTGTGTGTTTTCTTTGTCTCTGCAGCAACAATTCAATATACAATTACCAAAAGATTGAGATAAATTAGCCTAACTCTCAAATTAACTCCCAAAATAAACATTTCTGGATTGCCACTTGCAATAAAAAACAAGCACTAAATACACACTGTCGTTAGCTTGACGTCGACGGTGTAATATTTTGATTTCGACGAGGTGAATTCTTTTCTCTCTTGCCCACCTTCACAGGGAGGTCAGTCTCCATCCCTGTAGCATCGATCCAAAGGTACTTCAACAGAGCAGATTCTTGCCCACACAGGGGCCTGAACCTGGGCTCTTCACCTCTCTATAATCACCACGCCACCCTGCTGCAGCCACCCACCTGTTTCTCCTCTTCCATAAAGCACTTACCATCTCGTGACATGCCCACTGCCAGGCACTTCTGCAGCCGGCAGTGCTGGCAGCGGTTGCGGCTGGTGCGGTCGATCAAGCAGTTCTTCTGACGGGGGCACGAGTAAGCTGCATTGCTCTGCTGACTCCTCCTGAAGAAGCCCTGCACAGGGAAAAGGGGGGGCACGGAAACACCTGAGGTTACTGGATGAACCTCTGTGGGTGGAAATGTGTTCTGGGAGCGAAGGATCCATTTATGTCTTCATTGTGTTTTAGCGCTGAAAAAATGTATTACCGGTTATAGTAATTTATTGTATTCCTAGTGGTGATGTTTTTATCTTACTGCTGCTAAACTGATTTATAATAATACTGCTGTGGCCATTTTTTCCCTGACTGTTCCGCTGTAATAGCTGGCATTTAAAGAGCGCTGTACTTTACAAGTGTGTACAGCATGAGAGCAGTGTGTTTGGGTAGGAATGATAACAGTGGATGGTATTTTTCTTCAGTGGGGTTATTAGTGTTGATTAACGCGGCACCGGCATGTGCAGTGCTAAAGGACTGCGAATGCACACCGACTGGATTCCTCATCCTTTGACTTAATGAATTGATTCCAGCACATCATTAACATGCCCCACTCTACTGCTCCATACACATATGTCTTAATTAGCTGCTCATTGGCTGTTTAATTACAAGAAAACAGCTGACAGCTGCCAAGTTGCTTTATAATGGAAGCCATTATGGAAACAGACTAAAACTGCCAGTGACAAGCAGCACTCTTTAATAATGCTATGATTTATGGTCCAAACTTTTGTACTCGCACATATCATTAAAGGCCTCTCTGCTTGGACTAATTAGCAATCATTAAAGATAGATTTCAGCAGTTTATTCTTTAGCGTTTTCTCCCTTCCAGCTCCTGCGTGAGGAGCGCTGGGAAGAAGTGCTGAAAGGAAACTCTCTCCGTCCCTCTGTCTTCTCTCTCTCCTTAACACACACACACCACACACACCACACACACCACACACATACATAGGAGCAAACAGCAAAGGTGCAGGCTGGCTGAGGAATGCTAATGATGTGCCTGGTGACAAGCATGGGGACAAGAATACACTCTAAGCACAAAATTCCCCTCACTGTGAATGGCTGGTGCATTTGAAACAGTACAAAAGGTGGCTTCAATAGAAGCAACACACTGTTGCAAACAGCCAACAATCTGCTATAATTCAAAGCTCTCTCCTTTTGATCATTTTATTTCAAGAAGAGCAGGCTGCAGCAGAAGCAAAAACAGCAAAAAAAAAAGACATGTCCCTGGGAGGGAAAGGCAGAGCAAGGCAGAGGGATGACTTTGTCCTACTAATTGTGGTTTTCTGTGATGTCCTCTATGGTGCTTGACCACTTTAATGATCACGCTCTGTGTTTACACTTTACAGTCCCTCTCAAAATCATCGTAAAACTTCAGCAACATTTTCAAATGTTTTTCCTAGCAAGCAACTTTCGCTACTTCCCCGTCTTTCCCCTCTCAGCTCTTCTGTCCCTCACATACACCCAGACACACACACACACTTCCTTTCCATACCACAAACAGGTTCAGTCTCTTGACGCTTACCTTACAGCCTTCACATGTTATCACGCCGTAATGTATGCCTGATGATTTGTCTCCACAGATCTTGCAGGGAATTATTTCGATTTGAGCTGCAGAGAAGAAAAGGGAATGGAAGAAATGAAGAAAAAAAAAATCAACATTTTGCTGTCACAAGTCACTGTACAACACCTTCACCATGGATCCATGTTGGTACATGAAAGAGCACTGTGCTTCTAAAAACATCTCATCCGGTGGCTTTTGAATCCTCACTTCCACAGAGCATTAGCTGAATATTTACAGAGTTACAGTGTGTGTGCGTGCGTGCGTGTGTGTGTGTGTGTGAAAGGGAAGGAGGCCATTTTAAGTCCTCACAAGCAGCCAATGTAAACACGGTGTCAATTTGCATCCCAAACACAACTTACATAAGAAAAAACCCCAGCTACCCACAAACCCTAATATAGTGCAGGAGTCCTAATACTAGCCTTGTGCAATGACAAAGACTCATTTAGCCACATGAGGAGATGTATTCCCAGTTGGAAAACTTGACTTCATGAAGCCTCTTAAATTTCAAAACCATGAAAACCCCAGGAGTAAATCCACCGCGGCCACAAAGAGTCATAACATGCCCGCTGTGCTGGATGGAGCAACGGCAGCGACTCTGTGTGTGTGCACCTCCGTGTTACGCTATAGAGAAAGGGTTCAGTTGCGGTTGGCTGTGGTGTTGTGGCTGTTGACAGGCCTGTGATTCACCCGCCATAGGGGACAAAAGCACCGAGAGGACAGGCCTCATCCATCGTTGGCCTTCTCTTCAGGAGCGGACCACAGGGCAACACAACAGAACAGACAGAACACACAGACATCAGAGACACAGAACTCCCATCTCGTCCCACTGCTCTCTGCTTTATCACTGCAGCCACTGATGCTACATCCCGCTCCACCTCCATCCCCCCACCCCACACCCAACCCTCCTCCAGAGATCTCTATCTCGTAGCCCTCCTCCACATCTCTAACATCTCAGTCCCGCCATCCCAACAGTGCACTACAGCGCCAGACAAACGCCGCTATCTGATCTAAATCGAGGAAAGATCACCGCGGGATATTTTCTCACGATGTAATGTTTTTTTTCTCTCTCTTCCAACCAACCACGTAGTCAACCAATCAGAGCACGAGGAGCTGTTGCAACAGGATTCTATACTAATTAGGGGAGGAATATTATGATTTGCCTTAATAGGATGCAATAAAAATGACAATAATTTAAAAAAGCGGTGGTACATTCACAATGTCAAAGTGTTACATCAGCCCCTTCCCTCTAACCAGGCCTAACTGTCTACCACAATGCCTCAGGTCTCTTCCAAAGACAAGAAGCTTCAAATATCCCTTGTACACCTTAACAACCAACCTCTTTAAACTAGTTTGATCACATCAAAAGTACTTTTGCTCGAGGTTCAATCCAGAGATCCCTGCCCATTTTAATCAGCTGCCTAGGAGTCTGTAATGTGTCATGTGGATAATGTCCTTGTCCCTGAGGCATGCCCGGGAGAGGCCCTTAACACAGAGCCTCTAATCCACTAACCCGGGAGCCACACTCTATTCATTCAGGAATCTGTCTGTTCTCCTCGCGCTGCTGGAGTCAACAAGACCAGCCATGTTTACTTGGAATTAGCCTACATTTTAGTAAAATGAACAAAAGGGAGTGGTGGAACATGCACAATTAATTCTCCTCCAGACAACACCTCCTGCGATTTGTGATTCTCACATACAATAGAGGGCACTGCACCTCGTCGGCCCGGATTAGAGTGAAATCCAGGCAGGAGGCGGGCTTTGACAACCTAACAGAGAGGGTTAATTTATAATTAATCTTGTCCTTACTGTGCACAGTTGCTTGTTATTTCATTTAGGTCTATCTCTGTATGAGTGCACTCTATTGTTTGTTTTTGTGTTCTCCCCGCATGAGCATTAGCAGTGCAGTGTGTTTCGACTCCTTTAGCATTTTCAGCCTCATTACTTACATAATTTGTTCTGACATGCACTCACAACAACTGAAGCGTGCGGTAATTATGACTAGCTGTGGTTATAGTGAACTAGAGGTTGTAGTGACAGGCCCCGGCCATTGGGTGGCAGTGCAGGGCTGTGGCTATGGTTGTCTTGCCAAGTTAAGCCAAGCTTCCACCCACCCTATCCAGCCCACAGGCTTTTGGCTCTGAGCTCCAGCCTCTGATAGCTCCCGGCTTAGGCTGCTGCTAGCTTCCCCCACCCCCACAGCATAGCTGTGAGATGCCTTCATCTCTCCTGAAGAAGCGGAGCTGGCTGGGCGCTCGCTCAGGCCTGACAGAGGCTGTGCCACATCAGGTGAAAGCAGTGGGTGTATAGACACAGGGGTGCCAGGCTGGGCAGGGCATACATTCACACAAGCATGCCTCACAAAGCCCTATCTGCAGCAGGAAGGCCCTGAGTGCACACAGTCTCACCAGCGAACACTCTCTCACTCCACCGCTGCACAAGCCCCTGGATGTTCAGTGCACTCAACAGTAAAAAGGGTTTGTCTCTGGACCAGCTGAGGCAGGCTCTATAGTTTCCTGTATGAGAAAAGACATCACTCCGAACATATAGCTATTTCCACACTAGGAGGGGTCAAGGAGAATAAATACTGAGCAATGACACAATGGAAGACAAATACACCATGAAGTCACCTAAACCATCAGTCAATATTTGCCCATTTCACTGACTGGTCATGGGGCCCTGAAGCTACACGTCAGACACTGAGTATGATTTAAACTGAATTCACACAGGGGACTCAATCAAACAAAGAGGCCTACACTTATAAGCACTCCCAATCTGGCAGTCAATATCTATTGACATGAGCTGCGGTGTTAACTGCCTCTTGGTGTGAAACAGGCAGCTGCTGGCTCGCTTGAGCTTGACCAGAGCAGTGCCACTGATCCCATTCACCGCGCCTGCCTGCCTGCCTGCCTGCCTGCCTGCTTGCTTGCTTGCTTGCTTGCCTGCCTGCCTGCCTGCATCTCTGCCACCCTGCCTCCCTGCCTGCCCGCTTCCCTGCCAGCCAGCCTTGCCTGCTCTGTTTACGACATCAAAGCCAGGCACAGTTAGACAGGCAGCCATGCTAAAGCCCATCCCAGCAGCCTGCCGCTCCTCGCAGCACAGTGAGATGGCCTCTGCACGCGGGCCACTTCAAAGACACCTGCTGAGACGCCAAGATTATGTTTGAATCACACCGCGGCACAATCACACCGCGGACATGACCATGAGGGTCGGACAGTGGCTCAGGACCGATTTCCTGTATGCAGCATTGCAGCTTTGGCGTGGGCGTCTTGGATAACGGGCATGGCAAGAGAGAGGAGACAGTCAAACAGAATGTTAAAGCTTGTTCTTTGTCTGTCTGTGGCTGAGCAGTTCAAGGACACTGATTCACAACACTAGCAGGCCCTTTGAGGGGATGACGTGTCACTCAGAGCACATGTACAATAGGGCAGTGAGGCCGCTGCATGTTCACCCAGTGCCCTTCACTGTCTTCTCCACAGCCCTGAGATCAACCCACTGCTAAAACAGCACACCGCATTATCAAAGACCAGGAAACTAACAGTCAAATGCGAACACCCTGAACAATTTGCACACTAACAGCTTCCAGAGGCCCTGTCATAGATTATTTTAATCACAAGCACTGAATAGTCAGACACTGCCAGACAAAACACAGTCAATCTTTGCACTGCAAGTATAATACAGGAAAATTGAAAAGCTATGACACATACAGAATTTATTTTTCTTAGTAATAGTGACAAACTTGAAGTCCATATGTGGTGTGAATAGCTGATGAAAAACAAACAGAAAAGACCTGCTCATTGCCTCTGCCATCATGGGTTAGATTCCCGTCAGATAAAACCAACACTTTCATCTAATATTCCTCAATTTAGCAGATAACAAGCAAAATAAAATAAAAGTGAAAATCCTACAGGCTTGTGCAAACATGGAAAATCACTAGTCGAAATCTCCTGGCTGTTCCCACTGAACCCTTGGACTACTGACATAACGTTGAAGGATTAAGATTATCCCTTACATTACAGACCCATGCCCAGGCCACCGTCATAATGCTCAGAGCTTAACCCATTACTCGATTGGACCATTAAATCAGTTTCTCATGGCCTGATGATTCACGATAGATGTGCACAATAAATGAGGTCTGAAACCAAGGATTCTACACTGTTCCATGTATGAAAAGCAGATTTTTTTTTTTTTACAATGTACAGCATTCTGACAGAAAGCAGTTGGAGGAGGAAAAAAAAAACATTGGCTTCTGTGTGCATGATGGGGTGTGAGTGTGTATATACCGTATGTGTGTGTGTCAGCGCTGTTGTGTTGACAGCTGTCAATGACAGAGTGACGCAAGCCAGTGGGCTCATGTCAGAGATTATGTAAGGAACTGGACAGGGCACAGCATTATGAACAGATTAACAATTCTTCTCGCATCACACAAACCGTGTTAATATATTCTCCTTCCTAAAATATTTTGCAACAAAACAAAAGCTTATAAGGGCTCACGTCTGCTCCCAGGACGGCTATGCAAAGCACATTTTTCCTTTTACACATGGTCAACACGCAAACACCACAGGCACTGAACTGTCTGGCAAAATGCGTTTGAAACAATATTCCTCCGTCATTATGTGCATCTGCTTATTTTTCGACACGAACTTCCCATTTGGTAATGGAGATCAGCTGTCGGGCGATAGAGTCTTCTCTAAACAGATACCCATTGCAGTCAGATCGAGCTGTAGAGAGACGACAGCCTAACAAGAGATAGAATCAGAATTCTGCCTCTTTTCATCTGCCAGGGCTCTGCTGTCATGTGAAGTCACACAACACAATACTTTTTTATTCCCATTTATGCAGCAGAAGAAAGGTTATTTGAATGTCAGCGGCAAAGGACAGTCATGGCACGGAACACAGGCTGAATAGTATAAATGTGTTATTTGTTTAGGGATCGGAGGCTGTTGGCATATTACCATAGAGCTGCTCTAATGGCATTTGCTGGTTTTGTAGCACAAAAGAAAGCACACGGGGCGGTAAAGAAATCCACCTGCAGACCTAAACTCTATAT